ATATCAACAAACTGGGATGTTGGGAACAAAATCTGATATATACTCATTTGGAATAATGCTTCTCCAAATTATCACAGCCAGACCTCCAATGGGTTTGACCCACCATGTTGAGAGGGCAATTGAGAAAGGCACTTTTGCTGAGATGCTTGATCCGGCAGTTCGTGACTGGCCTGTTGAAGAGGCTTTGACGTTTGCCAAGTTAGCACTCAAGTGTGCCGAACTCAGGCGTAAAGATCGACCAGATCTTGCCACTGTTGTGTTGCCTGAACTTAACAGGTTACGTTTACTCGCTGAAGAAGCCATACCACAAATGCCTTTTGGAAGCAGCCCAAAAACTCCATCTAGTGAAAGTCGATCTAGCTCTCAAGTAAGTGAACTAGAAGGCTAAGAGTAATAAGAACATCTTTTTTGATAAAGTTATCAAATCTTTTAACAAATTAAAAACAGTTTCAACTTCAAGAAAATAGCATGAAAATGCTACAGGCGGAAGAATGTTAGCGATGTTGATTGGCATACCCACCCTGAAGAAGAAACTTTCAAACACATAACAAATCATGATTTTTTGCAGGTAATTTCAGGATATGATAGCAGTAAAAGCCGCTCAACCAACCCCTTTTCATCAGACGCAACATCAAGTGGATAACAAGAATATTCAAAACTCAAAGAGGCTGGAAGAGCCAAGATATTGGCAAGATATTGTTGACACCAAAGATACCACAAGTGATTTCTTTAATTTAGTTCATCTTCTAGGATATAGCTAAAGACAGCTGGTTTCATCTAGCTTCCAGTATTTATTTATTTCTGCAAAAAGAAAATGATGCTTTAACTAAACTATGTTCATAAATATTGACAGACTTCTGACACCATGTTTCCGTTTGCTTTAGTTAAAGTTCTTTTCCGTTAAGATCCAATATAAGAAAGGTCATGTGGTATGAGAAACACTATAAAATTAAGGAATAGGAATTTCCTGTCCTCATTAGCTCTGACCAAGTAAATTTGGCACCTGAAGGTTAACAAGTTGGTGACAATTGATAAAATCCAAGAATTCCTCCATTACGATAAAGAATGTCTGACATCTCACTTTGCTTCGCAAACCTTATCATATTGAAATTACACCTATAACTCATGGCACATCCCCTTCTGAAAAAAAACTCAGATATTTTCTTCTCTAAACTCTATTTTGACCACTCACTTATTGGCCCATAGACTCCCACAAAGCCTCTCGAATATGCTGCCTATACTTTTAAAGACTACTGTAGTGGAGAAATTCCTCTTTTTCCTATCCCCTATTCTAACTTCCCCCCATCCCATAACACCAAAATTTAGCCAGCTCTCAGTTGGAATCATTTCTTTTCTCACCTATCTCCTTCTCCTCATGCACTTGATATCTTATGCGGGTAACTTCTCCCGTTTTATTTCTTGTATACATTACTGCCCTGTTGCCTATCCCCTCAATTCCACCTAGGTGATGGCCCCACTGCTCAGGTCATTTACCCCCCTCACATTGCATGAAATTATCTTAAACTTCATAAGACTCTCTACACTCTCCTCAAGTATCTCTTGCCTCCTCCCACTCTAATTATTTCCTAAGTGAATCATAATTGATAGAGCATTCCAAATTAAATAACTCCCTCATCTTTTATGGTTTCAACCTCAAAATGTCTTCCACGGCTAGCTTCACACCATTTTTGTCTATGTTACTCGGACTCTTCAAAAATGTTGTTGAGTGCGTGTCGGATCCTCCAAATTTAGTGCATTTTTGGAGGATCCGACACGGGTGCGGCAGCACTTTTGGAGAGTCCGAACAACATAGATTTTTGTTGTATCTCATATGAGAGTTATATTGTCCCCTCCTCGAAATTTCCGAAGGACACCCAAGAATTCTTCGGAAATCCAAGATTTGTTTCTCCGCCCACTCTGATATTTTACTCTCCTCCAACAACCACCACCACTCCCCC